CCATTTCATAAAACCGTTTGACCCTCAGCCCTTCCACTCAGCGGTCACTGTAATAGTCTTAAAGAATGCCTTCAAATTTCACGTAATTTAGAACAAGAATGAATAGGCTCCTAATTCCGCATTTGCCGAATTGATAGATTGATAMTTTTTGATGATATTATCACTTACAATTAATACATAATGGATGCTTTCTCACGGAGGTAGTGGCTAAATCATAACAATGAGCTGACTTGTGTCTGCGTGTAAATTGATTTTGGCTTTCATCCAAAGTAACGAAACTTATTTGAATTGTAACTGCAAAGAGCAGTGATGTGACTTACAAAGGTTGATTCTTCGTATGCTTAGAGTTCGTCCCCGTTGAGCTGCTCCACTGCTGTGMTTTGCAAAGCATGGTTATTAACGGTGACAACGTTTTTGCTTTCGATTGATATTCGATTGGCAACACATTTCTTAGCAATTCTTATGCCTGTGATTTTMAGTTTTCTTAAAAATAAAGCCAGATCCTGGTGTTTCTTTTACACAAAGAAATATATATATCAATAAAAGTAGTGTTACAAGAACCTCTGTAATCAAGAGAATGCTTCTAATGATCAACACAGCTATCAGAATGCTTATAGTTCATTTGTTTCAAACACAGAYATAGATCCTGGATTTCCAAGAAATGTCAACTGAGATATATTAAGCGTTATTCCTGGAAATATTGGAATCATAGATGGCCTGGATTTCCAAGAACTGAGAAATGTTAAGYTTATTCCTGGGAGTATTAAAACCATAAAGGAATTATTAATGTGGGAAGACGATGAAATTTGAACCTTCTGAAAGTCGTGTTTTCCGATTTAAAGTGACATTAATAGTTTAGTAAAAATGCAAATTTGATGATGTTAAAATTAAAATAAGAAAACAATCATTCCTATAATGACACTTATGATTATTCTATTTTTGATTCCAATTTCCTTCTGTTCCTATTCTATTTTGGTTATAACAGAAGGAAAAGTTGTGCTAACTAACTTCCCATCAAGGAGGATTGAAGCATTCACCGGAGAAACAGTTAGATTTAACTGGAATTACACTGTCGGTGACAAGAACATGGACTTT